TTAACAGCAAAAAATCTTCAAAAAGAAACACGAAAAAAAAAAATTTCCCCAAAAAAAAGGATCCATCAAATAGCAAATCAAAACGGGAAGAGAAAAAGAAGTTACAACAGACAGTGGGACAGCTTCAAAAAACTTAAATGTATGGCAATATTGAGGAAGAAGGGAAAAAAATAAAAAAACTTGCTTAGATTGCAGAAGAATTATGGGGAAAAAGGGAAAAAATGGAAACAGGCGGGAAAATAACAAATTCCCCTTGGGTGGTGCGAAAAAATACTAGGAGATCATCAGGAAAGAACAACTGAAGAGCACAGAGCAACAGTGTTAGAACCACACGTACTAATGGATGAAATAGAAAAAGTCATTAAGCAGTCTCTAAGCAGATAATACCTTAGGTTTTGGTGAGCCGTGTTGCTGTGTCCATTGACTGTGCTATATTTGACAGTATAATTCACGGTGTTTGGAAATTCTTACTACACTTTATACGCAAAACAAATTTGTGCTTATAAAAAATGTAGTGAGACTTTACAAACACCCTGACATAACCTTAAATACTCTAATTTTTTTTAATGTTTGTAGTTTCAGAGATCAGAGAACAAAAGTTTGACCAGTTGCCATGACAATGTTCGTGTGCACAAAACGACAAGTGATTTGCCTGGCGTTAACCTTCCCTACCTGTGTATATCTGGTGCTGATGTTTGCTGCCATTGGACAAGTCTGCATGAGAGCGGACACAGAACAACCTCACTTTAAAGAGGAATACATCAAATTACTGGACTTCCTTCAAGGCAGATCTCTATCCCACAAATCTCCATATGGCGATCTCATCAGTCAAGATGCGATGGATGCACGTAGATTTGTGAAGCTCAAAACAATATAATAGATCATCATCCTTGTTTACTTCAAAGACATCTAAACATATGTCTCCGAAATCGTCAGGAGCAACTTTGCTATACAACTGCTCCACTATTTCTAAGATGAAAATTCGCAATAAGATTGGTCATGGGGTGTCCAAGCAGGCGTTTACAGCAGATGACCATGGGACGCAGGTGGCTATCAAAATGGTCACACGGCACATCCATGAGGTGAGACAATGTCTGGACCAGCTCAAGCGGTCAAGCCTGGACGACAGACAGGCGAACCCAAAACAGGGAATCGGACAAATTGGGATTGTCCAAGAGTGCACATGTAAACGCTTTTTCCACTATTGAAGAAGAGAAAAACGTGTATAGAAATCTTGATGCTAAAGAAGAGGAGCAGTCTAAGCTGATATCTTCAGATCAGTCAATCCAGCTGCCAAAACGATCTTTAGAACAAAAAGTTGGGTCACCTAAGGAACGCCAGCGTTGCTACACGGCTCCTACAGCAAGGCTGATGAAGGAGATTCTGCTGTCACAACAGCTGCAGCATGGGAACCTGGCCAAACTGCTGGGTTTCTGTGTCAGGAGTGAGGAGTCCGACTCTACTGATATTTCCGAGCACGGTGTCATCAGCGTCTACGAGTTAGGCTCCCGATTCGTGCTGGATAATTTACAAGTAAGACTTGCTAATACCAGATGAAATATGTCATTAGATAATTAGGCATAATAGGTATGATTTTAGGGGAACTTAGTTATTTAGTAAGATAGTTTGTGGAGATTCCTGTATCACTGCAGACAGGTTACCAACACAACTACTCTGTTGCTGTTTCAGTGGAAAGGAACACAAAATATGCTTGACTGTCCTATCTGAAAAACTAGTGAACCACTTATCTGTGCCAGCTGAATATTGAAATTAGCATATGCAAGGGTGAAAAATACAGAATAAAAATTATTCAGCTGACAGATGTGCCAACATTAACGATCACACCCCAGAACTGCAGTACACTGTTGGAGCAAATGGTCATTCACGAAGACCAGCATTGCACCCAAAACTTTTACGTCATTCTGAACACAGTCGGTCATCCGCCATTTTAGTGCAGCAACAAACCGCTGAGGACACAACAGAGGAGGAAAAAAAACACCATTCCACATGAAATCCACAGCTCACAGTGTCACACAAAGCTCTCAGCTCAGTAGTGGGACTAATCATCGTTACGTAGTCCGTAATGGAGGTTTGAACTTTACAGCAAACAAATAAAACTAAACAGACTGCTGCTATAATGGAGGAAAGGCATTCCACAGGAAATACACAGCTCACCGTGCTGCACCAAGCACTCAACTCGGTAGCTTAGGCAAAGAAACCCTGGACTTAGCCCAAATGTGAAATTCTGGTACACTCCACCTTTATTTCCATTGACATGGCTCTATTCATCTTGGTACACAGGGGTGACTTGGCTCTGTTTTCAAAGCAAAACTCTTCTTTTAGCTCGTACATTTTGACACTAGTCATCATGTACACAACCTTCTGTCTCATGAGCTGGCAGTTATTTCTGATTCAGATTTTAAAGTTTGAGGTTTGAAAAACGGACCAACATCATGGCACACTGGGTAGTAACCCATAAGTGCTCCGTTCTTCTTCTAACTCAAGTCTCAGTCCGAAGTACCTAGTATTTAATACTAAAACAAGTCTGTTGTCTTTCTCTACTTAACGCTGTTAGGCGTCGCAGGCACAGCTCATCACCGTTTGTGTGGACAGTGCGCACGCACTTGCTATAATAGTAATAGTAATAATAATAAATATTACTTGAGACCAGCCTGTGGGAAACTAAAAGGGCTTACCCCCCCCCCCCACCCCTCCCCCAGATTTCTCAGTTCCCGCTCGCCTGATTCAGATTTTATTTAATGGATGTCATTTACAATTGCCCAGCCTAATCTCTTATATGATGCCGAGGTGGTGTAGCGGATACACACTCCCGTGCAAATCCGAAGGTCGTTGGTTCAAATCTGAAAGGCGTCCATACTTTTTTGAAAAATTACATTGGATTTCATGTCGACCCGGCCTTAAATGGATCAACAGGTAAACTGCTGGGAAGTAAAAGTGGCCGGCATGAGGCTGACCATATCATCCACCAAATGGCGATTGATGTATAAAATTTAGGTCTAGCCTTATACGCCCAATATACTAGAATAGCTTGGAAAAGGGTCCTTTGCTTCAGAATCGCCCATGCCCTCTCTTCAATTCTATCTAGTAATGTAAAAAAAAAAAAAAAAAAAAAAGTCTTTTTTTTTCTGATATTTGGCAGTTATTTCTGATATCCGTCAGATTTGACGAGCAGAACATCAAGATTTGTTCTGATTGCTTCAACAGATTCTGCCCTGGCAGACAAGACTGAGACACGCCATAGAGATGGCAGATCTGCTCAGTTATCTCCAGAACTCACCGCTGGGGTCGCTGGTTGTTGCTGACCTCAAGGAGGGACATCTGGTTTTGGTCAACGACAGCCTCAAACTGATAGATCTGGATGACGTCAACAACCTGGAGCCGAGTTGTGATGGTGCTGGCAATAAATGCCCGTATAACATCAGGTAGACAGAGACGTGTATGGATCATCATCCCACTTTTAAAACACACACACACACACAATTGAAACCAATGACAGTCATTTATTGTCATCCTCCTCGCCATCATCATCAATTATCATCAACATTACCATCATCATTAAGTGCTTTGCTCATTAAAGTTTCCTAACATGCCCTTTCGCATATTCATATGTTATATAACTTGGTATGCTGATACATTTTTTGGTCCTCGCAAAAGATTAAAGAATCTTTCCCGCTGTCTTCCTCTTCTTTCTTCCTATAAATTATTCAACTTTTCATTATGGTAGATCCAGATATTTGTAGACCAGTAGTATGTATACATGTCAACATCACGACGACCGCTATTAATTCTACAGACATTTCCTCTGGATATGACAGACTAGGTCTGCTTGGAAGGACATCTCATTAACAAACAAACTCAACCACGAACCCGAGATCTTGGGCTGTAGGAAAGCTTTGGGCTTCTGTAATCGCCCTGAAAGAAATGATTGCCACATTGTTTTGAGATTTGCAGCTAAGCTGCGATTTCATCCCTTTTTGACCCGAACACATCTGATTTGACCCAACTCTTAATTATTTGCCTTTTATGACATGCTTGTTAATGGGAAGTAGTCCTATTCCCACCCCAACCCCCATCAACCTTTCTCAAACAAATAGGGCCTCGTGACACACACGAGCATGAAGATGGCTCCCATTAATGTGTCCATTGTCATTTTGATTTACATTTGTATTCGCTGACAAAGACATCCCCGACGCTAGGAGAACGTATCAAAATCTGGTACTGTCTTAAAGAGTCAGAAGGACAAACTAGAGCGCATTCAGAACGCGGTTATGCGGGTCATTCTGGGTTGCACCAGAGATATCCCAGTGGTGTGTATGCGATACATCCTTAGTTTGCCGACTGTTGCAGCTAGGCACAAGGTGATGCAGGCGAAGTTATATCTCAGGGTAGCTGCAGACATAGACCACCCTCATGGATGGCTCAGGCAGAAGACACAATCAGACAGGTTTGCATCCTTGAGAACATTAGGCGAGGAGAGGAGTGGGTCAAAGTGCCACCTGAGCAGTCATACTTGTGTAGAGTCATAATCACGCTGAGCCGGAAATGCAGAGACTGACCAGCAGGTGCCACAGAGGTGGAAATTCAGTACTTAATTCAAGATAATGCTCGCTCAGAGGATTTGTTCATTTACACAGACGGTTCAGTGTCACGAGACAAAAGAAGTGCTTGGGGGTTCTTAGCAAAAGTTAATGGTCGACGTTCGGTGCAGGAGAGCCTAGCATATGATACCACAAAATCGAGCTTAAGAATGGAGGTGGAGGCGGTCACTGCAGCTTTCCGCTGGCTAGAGAACGCGACACACAAACATCGTGATTGTAACTGATTCAGAAAGCATGCTGAGGAAGATCAGAACAGGTATGCTTCGTGCAGAGTGGCATGCTTCGCTGCGGAGGACACGGGTGAGGAGTATTGTCTGAATTTTTTCACCGGGGCAGACCGGTGTGTTGGGAAATGAACAGGCGGACAGACTGGCTGGCTCTGCTCAACTTGGTGGAATACTGATACATGATAAGGCAGACGTGGTTAGTGCCTTGTGGGAAAGCGTGTACAGTTCGGAGGAGCAGATGGATCAGCACAGTCTGGTGAGATTGATGCAGCGGGGAGCGACTAGAGGTTCTGGCAAATGCTCGAGGCTCAGAGGAAAGGCAAGACGGGCGTTTAATCAGAATGCTACTGGCACCATTAGTATCGGAACTCTTCGCTGGCTGCTAAAGATGGAGACGGAGCGCTTAAGGGAATTCCCCGAGTGCTGTGATGTTGGTTCTTGAATCAAATCAAATCCAAATCTAGTTCTAGCCCTAGTAAAACAATAGTGAAAGGTCACTCCGATTACACAACCTTCAGTTTCTCCTAGGTGTTCATCTAACACCAGATGGCTTCACAATATGTTTAAAGCAGCATGGGTACAACCATTGGCTGGCAACATGCAATAGTTATACCAGTATTGAAGATCAAAATAAGCAAGCGAGAAGCAGCGTTAAAGTGATATAAAGAACTGTGCTGTTGTATGAATGTGAGACATGGACAATAAACGTCGACCACTTAACCCATCGATTAGAAAATAAGTCAAGTGTGACATTGCTTAATGCGCCGCTGACATGAAAGATGTGTTTTTCTCACTTACTGCCTGTTTGCTAGTAATCTGTTATATTTCACTCAGGTGCGAGAGAGCCTTGTGTGAAGGTTTTCAACGCCAAGGAAAACTCTGAAGAACATGAACGGTTTGGTGCTGAAGCGACTGCTGTTTCCGCTGACCTTCCCCGAGCAGGTCATGGTCGACATTGGGCAACTGAACGCCAAGCTGGATTCCTTAGAGCTGACAGCCGACCAACTACACACACAACTTGTCCAGCTACAAACGTTTCTACTGAAGAGTGATATGTTGTAGTCGGTCTTGCTTTCTGTTGTACACACAGTCACACAACGAACATATACTTCATGGACATTACCAACATGGTTAATATCAGATTTCTTAGTTAAGCCTTGTGGAGGAGAACTATTTGCGATCCATTGCTGGATGTGTTGCATTGGCTAATGTCAGTTAGTGTCGTTGTAAACTGTATTTAATGCCACCAATATATCTTCTTATTGTGCTCCTTTCCGCTTTTACGCAGATCAGGTTCAGTCCTTTTCTTTCCCTCCATAATTCCCTCCCAGTAACAATTGAACAAATAAACTCCCTACTCTGACCTTCCTTTTCCTTTACCTTTCTAATGTATAAACGATGTTTCATTGAAGTGGTATGTGAAATCATGGTTTGCAATAATGGTCAAAATCAGTGACCAGCTGAACAATTAGGTACGGGATGTCTTTTTGAGTACACTGACTGGGACGACCTGCACCTGTATGGGCACTGTCCTCACAGAAAGATATCGCTAACTCGTACATTCAATTAAAGGTTGCAAACAGGTGTGAAGGAAAACGTCAAACGGCATGGACTTTGAGGAACCCCATTCCATTTTATTTAACATGATTAATTTTTTTCTTTCTCTATATTATCATTAAGATGACTAGCGCGTCAGTATCCTTTTCTTAATTTCTCTAATGAGCGCCATTATTTTTTTGCTGTTTTGTGACTGCACAGGAAAATTATACAGTGGTGTCTCGGAATTCGAACATAATACATTTTAAGGCTGCCATCGAATTCCAAATCGTTCGAGTTCCAAGGCACATTTTACTCACTGAAAATAATGTAAACGACATTAAACTGTTACGACATTAAACTGTTCCAGGGTCCAACGAACTTAAAATTCTTTAATTTATTTCTGACAATACAGTACACAATAAATGTAGTAACAAAAGATGATCATAACTAAAAAAAAAACCCAAAAATATATAAGGCACTGTATGAAGTGTAAATGAAGGACCACTTTCTTCTCCTTCAGGCGTATCGGGGCATTTAGCGCTAGACCTTTATTTTGTAAAACAATCGGCCCTCGGTGGGTCATGCGGTCAACATCACACAGGCCGCCTTTACTTGCTAGGCCTGCACCTGCTACCCGTTTGGCTGCTGGGTCGATCCGGGAGCCAAGGCCATTTTTGAAAGGAAAAAGGTGGTCTTCCGTTAGGGTCTGAACCGACGACATTTGGATCCGAATCCGAGTGGTATATACTGTACCTTGAAAAGTCAAGGTGTGAGGATTGACTTCACTGCACCAGGTTTTATCCCTTAAAAAAGAAAAGCTAGCTGTCTGCCGAGAGCGTCACACAGAGCACGACATCTGTAGAACCCGAGACGATCCCCTGTACTTTGATAACAATGGCAACATACACATTAAAGTAGGAGGAGGTGGGGATTTTATGTTGATTATTATCGTTTAAAAGGTGAATCACCTTTTACGATAAAATCATGAATCGTTTCTGGTGTTTCATATTGTAGTCTTTCACCACTTGTAGAGACTTTGAGGCCACTGTATTGTTTTGGTGATAGCCAGCATTCCAGAGTGCTTTGATGTTGGCAACCATCTTTTCACCCTAAAATTGAATCAGTGAACACACCTGGTAACTAGGGCTCTATCAAGGTGGCACAGGAAAACTTTTGGTGCAATTTCGAACAGAATATAAACTTTAACTCCTCTAACTATAAAATCCTCCACTCTGTAAACTTGATCATAAAAAAAAAAAACTGGTTCGTCAGAGTCTACTTCTTCACTTTGATCATTTACATGTAAAAATAAAAGTTCTACTGTCTGCTGTGGTGTAGTGGCTAGACGCTAGCCTGTGGATCCAAAGGTCGTGGTGTAGTGGCTAGACGCTAGCCTGTGGATCCAAAGGTCGTGGTGTAGTGGCTAGACGCTAGCCTGTGGATCCAAAGGTCGTGGTGTAGTGGCTAGACGCTAGCCTGTGGATCCAAAGGTCGTGGTGTAGTGGCTAGACGCTAGCCTGTGAATCCAAAGGTCGTGGTGTAGTGGCTAGACGCTAGCCTGTGGATCCAAAGGTCGTGGTGTAGTGGCTAGACGCTGTGGATCCAAAGGTCGTGGTGTAGTGGCTAGACGCTAGCCTGTGGATCCAAAGGTCGTGGTGTAGTGGCTAGACGCTAGCCTGTGGATCCAAAGATCGTGGTGTAGTGGCTAGACGCTAGCCTGTGGATCCAACGGTCGTGGGTTCAGGTCCTGAAGTGCCAGACTTTTTTTTTTTCAAATGACCTTTGCTCCCAGGTCGACCCAGCCTTTAGTAGGTACCAGGTACAGTCCTGGAAGTAAAGGCGACCGCTGTGATGTTGACCACTTCATCCACCAAGTGCCGATTGGTCTATACAATATAGGGCTAGCCCAATATGCCCAATATACGCCTGAAGGTGTTGAAAAGTGTCTATTACTTTGCCTTCTGAATTCAAAGGTTTAAAAATGGATGGGCAAGATGGGAGTAACAACATTTGTTGGTCTCTGTGCTCGCTGTAATCACATTAACCGCTTCTTTGAGTGACGAGTCTCGGGGGCAAATAGAATTACAGTTTTGTTACTCTTTGTCTTCAAGGCCAGACAATTTTACAGTGACTAACGTTTCTTTCAGCGCTTTCTTTAACATTCTCAAGACAGAATAGCTATGTATGCTTGCGGAGTTAATATAGGTCATATTGAAAACTTGGACATTACGTTTCATAGATGTGAGAGAAGATTGAACATGGCGTATCTACTTGAATATGTAATAATGAAACCGTTCTATTAAAACATTCAAGAGCCACCTTGGCGTAGAAGCTAGACTCTCGCCTGTAGATCCGAAGGTCTCGGGTTCAGATTCTGACGGATTCGGACATTTTTTTTTTTTTTTTTAAACGCCGATAGGTCTGACATCCCAGGACCTCACGTGGTGCCTGTTTGAGCTTAGAGCGACCTGCGAACCTAGGTCATTTTTGTAAATAGTCTGGCTCCGAATGGAACTGAGCCCACTACCGTGGTATCTGTAGAGGAGCATGCAACCGCTACACCATGGTTCCTTCCAGAAAAATACGACACGATACATATCTGAGATGTCATCGGAGAGCTGGGTAATACAGTCGTCATTACACTGGATACGAGAATAAAGAAACAAAACGTAACCGTCTGAAATAACAGTCACTATATATTTCTCATATAACATAACATGTTAAACATGCGTATACACAGAATACAAATCAAAATAAAATACTTGTAATTGTTCAAAAAAAGTTCAATTTAATCCGTTTGTTTACGACAACACGTGACAAGCTGCGACTGGAAGCTTAACCAAGGCAAAAGCAAAGACATATACATATATAGTAAAACAGATTAACTGTTGTCATCCGGATCAGGAATGTGACGGATAACCAAATACATGGGTAACAGAAATTCTCTAATAAATATAGAGTAAGTTGATGTTACTGCAGGCATGTGGCGAAAATAAAAATACAATCATTTATAAGTGAACAACACAAAGATATTGTATTACATTTTGCAAAAACGATCAATATAAAGTTAAAAATACGAGTGATAATGTAAAGAAATATATTGTAGTACTAGAAACGTGCTTCACTTTTACACAATCTCTTACCCCCTTCTGTGTCTTTAAGGCTAGAGCTTTCTGCCCTGTCATGTTCTGTATCTTTAAGGCTAGAGCTTTCTGCGCTGTCATGTTCTTTTTTTTTTTAAGGCTAGAGCTTTCTGCGCTGTCATGTTCTGTGTCTTTAAGGCTAGAGCTTTCTGCGCTGTCATGTTCTGTATCTTTAAGGCTAGAGCTTTCTGCGCTGTCATGTTCCGTATCTTAAGTAGAAATACGATCTTTGTATCCTTACATTTCAAACCAGTCGATGAACATTGTTATTTGTTTCTGAGTGAATAGTTGTTGGTTTGGGGTTTTAAATCTCACCATTTTCTGATCAATTTCTTTGTCTTTAACTCCAATTTTTTGTGTTCGGCAATGACACATAACAGACACTGATGGTTAAGCGAGTGACGGATTATCAAAGTTTGACTATACAAGGAAATATTACCATGTGTGATTCATGTTCAAGGTTTTGGCAGTTCTCGTTTTTTTTTTCCTTCACATTTCTTGTTACGTTGCTTTAGATAATGATTACCGTTGTTTATTTCGTTGGTAAAGGCTTTCGTCGAAGCGTTAGGCTGTATTAATGTACGTATTTTTTTTCCACTGTCGATTTTTCTTTTAAAAGCAAGAACAACAAAACCAACAACAAAATTAGAGGTATACTGACACCTTTGCGTAAGTGAACCTTAAACATGAACATTTCACAACTACAAACTAAACTATTGACATATTCAAACTTCAGTTAAACAAACAAGCAGGGAACACAAAATAACTTGCAAATTTTGTTCCCAAAGTTATTAGGAGGGTACTAACAAAGATGACTTTTTACGTTGTCTACTGTATCCTAAGTCTGCTGTGTTCTTTGTCTGGTGTGTCCTCTTTGTGGTGGGTGCTGTGTCTGGTGTGTCCTCTGTCTGGTGTGTGCTCTGTCTGGTGTGTCCTCTGTCTGGTGTGTGCTGTTTGGTGTGTGCTCTTTGTGGTGTGTCCTCTGTCTGGTGTTTGCTCTGTCTGGTGTGTGCTCTGTCTGGTGTGTGCTCTGTCTGGTGTGTGCTCTGTCTGGTGTGTGCTCTGTCTGGCGTGTCCTCTGTCTGGTGTGTGCTCTGTCTGGTGTGTGCTCTGTCTGGTGTGTGCTCTGTCTGGCGTGTCCTCTGTCTGGTGTGTGCTCTGTCTGGCGTGTCCTCTGTCTGGTGTGTGCTCTGTCTGGTGTGTGCTCTGTCTGGTGTGTGCTCTGTCTGGTGTGTGCTCTGTCTGGTGTGTACTCTGTCTGGTGTGTCCTCTTTGTGGTGTGTCCTCTGTCTGGTGTGTGCTCTGTGTGGTGTGTCCTCTATCTAGTGTGTGCTGTGTCTAGTGTGTCCTCCGTCTAGAGTGTAGTCTCTCTAGTGTGTAGTCTGTCTACATGAGGCGCACTGCCAATTTTTTTGGCAACCAGCTACTTTCCTCTTTCTGAATAAGTAAGATTAAATACACAGTTACTGGCAACATCAGCGTGTGGGTTGCAGGTTCCCACAGAGAGAAGTGAACAAATCCACTGCCCCCCTAACAAGCATCTCGTAAAAGGAAAAAAAAATAAGGGTTTGCTGGAATAGGATGTGTTAGGACGAAGGATTTAATGTATCATGAACTGCACTCAGGACATTCCCTAACGTGCTCAGTCCCATTCTTCAGTAGCCAACGACGAATGTACACGCTAATATTACCAGCTGAAATCGGATTAAAGGTCAGCCAATGTTTCCACTTCGAAATTGGATATCATCCACAACGTCCGCTCACCGATTAGTCTGTCAGTGTATGGGTTATCTGTTCAATTGCAGCGTCCATTGGATGCAGTTTATGTTAGGACGATAAGTACAGACATCTCAGCGAAGGTATAAACTATAAGACAACGTGCCAGCGATTCTTGTAAAGTAAGGACTCACGCAGAAGGAGAAGCTGCAACCGATTAATTAAGCCCGAGATGTTGTAAAAACAACGATGTCTTGCGAATGACTGCTACTGGTGATAATTAACACATCTTGTGTTGTCATGGCTGTCTTACTCCAGAGAATTAAATAAAGAAAACAATCATGTCTATGAATGGGGCTTTTTCCTTCGTTGCGTTTTTCTGTTGTCTACAATGACTGCTGGGTAGAGCCGTTTGGCCTGGTTCCTTTCTTCTTGGCTTATGTTAGAGTAGTCCAGGACCTCCAGTTTGGGCAGACTGCTGATGACGAAGTACCTGAAATGTTTGTAGAACACTGTAGGACATGCCTGAAACATTTTGTGTGTGTGAGACATAATCACTGTAGGACATGTATGACACATCTTGTGTGTGAGACATAATTACTGTAAGTCATGTCTGAAATATCTTGTCTGTGTGAGACATAATTACTGTAGGTCATGTCTGAAACATCTTGTGTGTGTGAGACATAATCACTGTAGGTCATGTCTGAAACATCTTGTGTGTGTGAGACATAATCACTGTAGGTCATGTCTGAAACATCTTGTGTGTGAGACATAATCACTGTAGGTCATGTCTGAAACATCTTGGTGAGACAGAAACGTTGTAACACATGTCTAAAACATGTGTGCGGGAAGAAACATCGTTGAACATACATGAAATATTGTATGTGAGGGAGAAACATTGTAGGACATGTCTGAAACATCTTGTGTGCGAGGGAGACACCTTGTAAGACATGTCTGAAACATTTTGTGTGCGAGAGAGATACCTTGTAGGACATTGCTGAAACATCTTGTGTGCGAGAGAGAAACCTTGTAGGACATGTCTGAAACATCTTGTGTGCGAGAAAGATACCTCGTAGGACATGTCTAAAACATTTTGTGTGCGAGAGAAAAACTAATGTAGGACATGTCTGAAACATCTTGTGTGCGAGAGAGATACCTTGTAGGACATGTCTGAAACATCTTGTGTGCAAGAGAGATACCTTTTAGGACATGTCTGAAACATCTTGTGTGCGAAACGGATACCTTTTAGGACATGTCTGAAACATCTTGTGTCTCTCAGAGAGATACCTTGTAGGACAGGTCTGAAACATCTTGTGTGCGAGAAAGATACCTTGTAGGAGATGTCTGAAACATCTTGTGTGCGAGAGATAAACAATGTAGGACATGTGTGAAACATCTTGTGTACGAGAGAGAAACAATGTAGGACATGTCTGAAACATCTTGTGTGCGAAAGAGAAACAATGTAGGACATGTCTGAAACATCTTGTGTGCGATAGAGAAACATTGTATTACATGTCTGAAACATCGTGTTCGCCAGAGAGAAGCAATGTAGGACATGTCTGAAACATCTTGTGTGCGAAGAAGAAACAATGTAGGACATTTTTGAAATATCTTGTGTGCGAGAGAGAAACAATGTAAGACATGTCTGAAATATCTTGTGTGCGAGAGAGAAACAATTTAGGACATGTCTGAAACACCTTGTTCGCGAGGGAGAAACAATGTAGAACATGTCTGAAACATTCTTTATTAAGTTTCTATCATTAGAAGGAAAATCATGTAAGGAAATTTATTATACGTTGTAAGTGCGATGAAAAATCCTTGCGGAAACTGTCTTATACATCGTGTTTGCATTAGAGAATCAGTGTATGAAATGTCTAAATTGCTTGTCTGCAATGGAGAATTACAGTAGAAAAGGCTTGAAAACATGTTATACGGGCGAAAAATTATATGCAATGTATACAATGTGTGGGCGAAAAAAGAATGGTTGCAACAAATGTCTACAGCATTGCGCACGTGTTAGAAAAATAATGTAAGAAATTTCTTGTGTGGGATGGAGAATTAATGTAAGAAATTACTTTCTTGGGATGGAGAATTAATGTAGGAAATGTCTTGTGTGGGATACAGAATTATTGTAAGAAATGTCTTGTTTGAGATAGAGAATAAATGTAAGAAATGTCTTTCTTGGGATGGAGAATTAATGTTAGAAATGTCTTGTGTGGGATAGAGAATTATTGTAAGAAATGTCTTGTGTGAGATAGAGAATTGTTGTAAGAAATATCTTGTGTGGGATAGAGAATTAATGTAAGAAATGTCTCTCTTGGGATGAAGAATGAATGTAAGAAATATCTTGTGTGGGATATAGCAATATTGTAAGAAATGTCGTGTGTGGGATAGAGAATTATTGTAAGAAATGTCTTGTGTGGAATGAAGAATAAGCATGAGGAGGCATTAAAGATATCAATGTGTGTGGTATCTTTAATGTGGCGGAAAGACAAACCTTACCGTGCGTATGTAGAGAAGGAGTCTAAGCTCCTGTCACTTATTTTGTAAATATAAGTACAAGTCAATAAGGAAGCCGCCATAATGTAGTGGCTTGACAGTCGCTGATTGGGTTCCTGACAGAGACTGACTTTTTTCCCCTCTCATTCACCGTTTGTAACTATGGAGAAAAGTGTTGGTTGTTCGACCACCTCTGGGCTTTAGTCTTCTTCCAAAACCTTAGTGTTCTTTGCACATGCGTTTTACAGATCTGACTGATCTGTGTGCAGGTTTTTGGTTCCTTGCTTCTGAGGCATATGCACTCAGACTTCGAAAGAAGCTCTCAGTTAGTTTACTCTTACGACATGCTTGTTGGGGAGGCAGTCTGTTCTTATTTTCCTCACAGTGAGGACTTTTTGTTTCAAAAGTGACTGGCTGCCAGGTCGACCCAGCTCTGCATGAGCACCAGGTACAACCCAGGGAAGTCAAGGCAGCCGGCGTGATGTTGAGTAGATCATCTACCAAATGTCGCTGGCTCTACAAAATATAGGTCTAGCCATATATGCCCAGGCGTGAAAAAAGTCTTTTTACTTCTTTTTGTTTTGTAACCAATCAATAAATGTTCATGTGGTTGACCTAAAGCGACGCGTCCTCCGTGCTGCAGTATCAAGACACCAGCCTGCCGGCCGAAGTTCTTTTGTTCGAATCTGCATCAAGACACCCATATATGCCGGCCGAAGTTATATTATATATATATATATATATATTCGAATCTGCATCGGAAGGCATTTATATATATATATATACCTTAGCTCTCGTGTCTAACGGGCCTATAATGGATGATCAGAAAATTTACTGAAAAGTAAAAGCGGGTGACATGATGTAGACCACACCATCAGATGGGTGTCGATTTGTCGCTATCCTTTTCATGTCGTTGCTGATTAATAAAGTATTCTAAAGTATTCGCCATTGCTGTCGGTCTGCTGCTGTATGCCCTTGGTATCCCGTGTCATTTTGCATTCGTTCATTTCCTGTCTATGACCTTCTCCAAGTTTCCTTACGTCGACCACATCTTTTTTACATCTGCCGCCCACTGGAGAGCTGTCCTTGCCAAAGTATCACGAGGCATTCTGCAAACCAAGTCATCTCTATCTTCTTTCTTTTCTAACATTTGCTAATGAGGAACATTTTGTTCCTTTCTCTCTTCCTCATCCGTGATCTTGTTTAACCAAAATATTCGCAAGATTCTCGTTAGAAATGTATTTTTAAAAGTTTCAAGTTTATGTGTAATTCTGCTCTCTTTTTCCAAACAATCCCTGTTATATAATGATATTCCTAAAATATCTGCTTGTGTATAAGCTGAGTTTCCTCTTCAAACTTCAAAGTTCCTGTGACTTCCCTATGTTGTTTTATCTTCAGATTTCAAAAGTCCCTGTAACATGAATAACAGACAAGATGATTGTTTTGGAGGGCCGGAATGTAAGACTGACCTGCGTTCCCAGTTTACGACCATTGTGAAAATATGTTGTTGTTTTTTCGTTCGTTCTGTGTGTCTGTCTATCCATATGCCTGTCTGTTCATCTGTATGTCTGTCTATACGTAATTGTATTATTTCCAGTACTGAGTAACCACAAACTTGTAAGAGCAAACCTGTAGTCCATGTACTGAGAAAAGGTGCCACCATTGAAGAAACTCGGCGCCGCCTCGTTGTTCATCATCGAGAGGATTCTGAGACTGGGGCAGCTCTTGGCCAGTGTGTTGATGAACAAACCTGAGGGAAACAATAGAACAGTGTGTTGTGTTGCTGTTGCTTTGTGTTGATGAACAAACCTGAGGGAAACAATAGACCAGTGTCTTGTGTCGCTGTTGTTTGTGTTGATGAACTATATTCTCTGAATATTTTCTATACGCCGCTACGCATGACAGTTCAACTACTGATACGTAGCTGAACTATGGCGCGGTCGGTAAATTGGTATAATCTGATCTTGTGAAGTCTTGTGCCCTCAGAGACACCTATCCGTCTTCTTCTAGTCCTGGCTTAACAAAACCTGTTGGGAGCCAATACCAGTCGTCCTCGTGTTGTTTGCGCTTGATGAACAGCCTGAGGTAAACATGTAGATAAGATTGTCTTGTGTTGCTGTTGTTTGTGTTGATGTAAACTGACTAACCCCAGTGTTTTGTGGTGCTGGTTGTTTGTGTTGATGAACAAACCTGAGTTAAACAATAGAACAGTGTCTTGTGTTGCTGTTGTTTGTTTTGATGAACAAACCTGAGGGAAAACAATAAAACAGTGTCTTGTGTCGCTGTTGTTTGTGTTGTCAATCTATATTCTCTGAATATTTCCTATACGCCGCTTTGCATGACAGTTTAACCGGTGATACGTAGCCGAACTAGGGCGCGCTCGGTGAATTGGTATAATCTGATCTTGTGAAGTCTTGTGCCCTCAGAAACACCTATCCTTCTTCTTCTTGTCCTCCCTCAACATGTTCATGTTGTGCTCCCTCACTGTCGGCATTGAGAGGACTGGCTTCAAAGCCATATACAAACGATAAGATATAGTTGTGAATTCTTTACAGGATTTTATAGAACTAACCCCATAATTTGTGTGTGTGGCTGTTTGTGATTTGCATAGGCGATCTAACATTCGATAGTTTGCCATTGCTTTCCAAAAGAACAGTAGCAGGTACTGACAAAAACCATCAACCCATTTTATCCTAGTGTATCTGCTAAGTAGCAGACTTTGTAAACCATGACGACATAAATTCTATAGGGGAATGATAATGTAACGTTGTGATTTTTTACCTCCTGAGCAGGAGGTGGAGGTCAAATATGTTTCTCCGCAAATTGATATTTTTGGCGGTCGGGGGGACTACAGCACGTGTTCGGGTGTCAAGGGTGGCAAAGGAGGCTCGGGTGATTTGAAGTCACCTGGCGCCTCGGGCTTGGTTGTGGCTATGTGTCCCTGAGTCGCTGGGCAGGCGGAGCAGAGGATCCGACAGTTCTCAGGGGCGGTACTGACCGGAGGCGGGTGGGGCTGAGGCCGTCACAGTGAGAAAAATAAGTGTGACAGTAAGACATGGAAAATAAGCAAACAAGCTGACAAACATGAAGTGCGCCAGAGATGTGGTTTCTGAGAAGAATGTAAAGAATTTTATTTAAAGATAAAAAAACAAATGAAGCAGTTCTCATTGACAACAGAGGAGAATCGCACACTAACTAGAACACATCAAACACAGACAGTCACAGTTTTCTAGACACGTTATAAGAAGGGATAGACGCGAGAACTTGATGACAACTGACAAGATGGATGAGAAGAGAACAAGAGGAAGGCAACGAGATTTAAACCTGGATGGCCTGGCCAAACGAATGTGGCGAGACACAACATTGAACTGATCAGGAGTTCTCATGATAGTGTGAAATGGCTAAACATGACAGTCAACGCTTACCGGCACATCACATGATGATGATGGTTACATTATTCATCATCATCATCATCATCATCATCATCATCATCAAGTGCTTTGCAAGTGCTCTGCCAGCTGATTTCGGTTCCTAGGTGTATCTCCATTACTACCGTCTACGGTGTAATTACAATTTCTAAATATATGGAGTCAATCAATCAATCAATCAATCAGGTGCCGTCACTACCCGTCACTACCGTGAAGTTTAGGGTTCAGTGGATCCCCAATTCTATTTGTCTTTCTCCTGGTAGCCAAGAAACCAAAATTTATGGCTACGGTTATCGTATAACATTTGACGTTGAAAAGTACTTCATGGGTGAGGCAGGAATCTACGGATCATCAGACGACGTTTCAATATTCACTGCAAGTTATTGCAATACAAATCCAGGCTTACCTAGGTTGCTGATCCTGTTGTGGTTTACCCACATGTCTGCAGGTTGCGACACAAAGGTATCTTTACATGCGAGGTAATTTGGTTCGAGTCCAGAACCAGACTCTGTATCCGCGGAAGATCTGCGAGGAACTTCAGATCTCTGGACCAACTGTTAAGTTTGACTAAAGGTACAATGTCATGAAAAAAAAAAAAACACTTCTTCTATGTAAGTTTCCGTGGCAAAGCTGTTCAACATTTGGTGCTTTGAGGATTGCGGGTTCCAGTTAGCGCTACGTCCTTCGGTTCGCCAGTTCAAGCATGTAGGATATTCTAGGGATCGTTGCTAAAGCTAATGAGTGCATGCATTATGCGATGCTCTCCGGTGAAAACCAACGTTTCTGTGGAGAGATACCAAGCCATATGGGAGCAAGTCGATTGAAACCCCGAAACTAGTGTGTTGGAATACTCATCGAGACGGGTTGTTTGTAATTGTTAATTATACGCTCAGATCACTTGAAGTTTGCTTCTGTATCTGTTTGTTGATGTAAGCGTACGATGAGAATGCACTGCAGCCCTGCCAATAGCTTTGTTTTCTGAACAAACCTGCATCCAGAACTCTCCTTGGCTTTCTTTATGGTATTTTTGATTTTAAATCGCTTTCTTCGCTGATCTCAAGGAGATTTTGAAATTACGATTATTGCCGCGGCACCCCTGGCATGCGCTCTCGGCACCCCTGGCATGCAGCAACTTGAGAACCACGTGCTCTATATGGGTTTCTACACTGGTGGTCTCCCTGGCATATAGGATTCGGGCACCCCTGTAAGAACACTCTCGAGGTCCCTTGGTGTCTCATCTGCAAACCCCTTGTTTTTTGCATTTCATAATTTACTCTTTCCTTTCATCATTTGGAAAGCCGCCATGGTTTAGCGGGCTAATTCCTTCCCTGGCGGATCTACGGTCTGGTGTTCATCTTGACTGAACATACGCTCCCCCCCCCCCCCCCCCCCAAATATAACCTTACTTTCAGGTGGACCCAGCCTGACATGGGTACGAGGTAAAGACCTGGAAAGTAAATGCAGCCGGGAAGATGTTAAAAGCGTGAAAAAAGCTTCTATAATTTACTTTTATAATTTATATGGCAGAAAGCATACAATCCCCGCCAGACTGAAAACTTAGAGGGGTCCGCTGTGTTAACTATCTAGCAGGAAACTACTGCAGCAGATATATCTATGTTTAGTGTGTTTTTCTATGATGAAGTGAAAGTTGAAGTTACTGGCATGAAGCACTTTCTTAACATAAAGTGACAGGAAAGTCAGTGACGACATAATTGATATCAAGGATACGTGATTTTGTTATGACTGAGGTCAAGTTCAACAAGGCAGTCTCCGTACGAGTACTTGACATCCGGGGGAAGGTCTGTCAGCTCCAAGTATGCCAGGGACACGCGAACTCCCTTCCTCTGCCGCCGGTCTTCCATGTGTAACCCTGCAAGAACAGAGGAGAACAGTATGTTACAAGTGTCGTGGTAAAGTGAGGAGATCAAAAAATAAAGTAGTATTGTTATTCCTTCTTATTGTCCTTTTTTTTCTCATTATCTTCTACTTTTTCTCAAATTCTTATTTGACCCAATCCACTCCTCCGTCCCTTTATTCTCTTTGAAAGATGTTGATGAATGTGATAATGTATACGCTGCCTCCAGAGCTGCAGAAAGCTGCAGAAAGCGATCTCAAAAATCAGTTGGTTCTTTACAGAACGTCGCACTTTTCAGGGGACACCTAAAAAGTTTCTTTCTCTAGCAAACTCTCGTCTTATGGCTTTCATAGTCAATGCATGTTCCATGTCTTCTGTCCGGGTGGCTTCTGAATCTTATGGCTTTCATAGTCAATGCATGTTCCATGTCTTCTGTCCGGGTGGCTTCTGAATCTTATGGCTTTCATAGTCAATGCATGTTCCATGTCTTCTGTCCGGGTGGCTTCTGAATCTTATGGCTTTCATAGTCAATGCATGTTCCATGTCTTCTGTCCGGGTGGCTTCTGAATCGTTTGCCAGAACTGTATCCTCCAATACCGGTGTTCAAGGTCATCTTGACGTTTGACTTGCCAAAATACGATATCCATCTAGTAGTATGATCAAACAAACAAGTCGGTACATAAAATGCTCACCGATATCAACAAAACAGTCATTTTATCGCATGTGACGAGAAGGAGAAAATTTGAGTACATCGTTACGGTAGGAAAGTTGGAGGGGAGGAGAAGCAGAAGGAGACCGAGAGAATTGATGCTGGACAGCTTGACATCATGGCATGGAGGATCATCTGTGTCAGTTGGTTGAAAGTAAATGAGGCATAAGACTCTGGATAACATGACTACCAACGCCACACGGCGTGGACTTTACAAAAAATAAAATAACAATATTCATAAGAAAATGATGATAAATGATTATTAAGCACAGAAAGCATTAAAGTTAGCACAGGGAGCGACCACCTAAAGCCTTCGGTATTCTTTTGGCCTGGCAACCTGTCAGTAACAGAGTCTTTACTTTCTCTGTCGATCGATTGATCGGGTTGTCTCCTCCAGGCTGCTGCCTTAAGGTTTACCATACCATCATGAGATTTCAAAGTCCTAACGCTTTCAGTCGACAAGCAATTGTTACTTTAGCTGCTTCTGTCTCAAAAAGTCGTTACTTCAGCTGCTTCTGTCTCGAACAATTGTTACTTTAGCTGCTTCTGTCTCAAGAAGTTTTTACTTTAGCTGCTCCTGTCTCAAACAATTGTCACTTTAGCTGCTTCTATCTCAAGAAGTCGTTAATTTGACTGCTTCTGTCTTAAGCAATTGTCACTTTAGCTGCTCCATCTCAAGAAATCGTTACTTTAGCTGCTTCTGTCTCAAGCATTGTTACATTAGCTGCTTCTGTCTCAAGAAATTATATAATGGTGATGATGCAGATAATGATGTAGACAATGATGAAGATAATGATGTAGATAACGATGAACATAATGATGTAGATATTGATGAAGATAATGATTAAGATAATTATGATGATAATGACGAAGATGCATGCTAATTATAACGACATTAATTGTCGATCTCACACCCATCCCCCACCCACGACCCCCCCCCCCCCCATCCCCCTTTCCAGTCTGACAATATAAAATATAGCCAACTTAACACAGGTGTATTCTAATTTAAACAGCACACATGGACAATCTGGCAATGGTAAATAACTAGAAAATACTGTTGTCCCCAAGTTTGAGTCCAGCGGTGGCATTTAACAGTTTCAGAACCAACTCCAGGGCCCTACAAGTGAGTATCACTGTTTCCTGTATGGGAAATGGGAACTCCATTAGAGGGGGCGAGGGGGGGAAGGGGGGGGGGGACCCACTGACCACTTACCAAGCATGTCGTAAAATGCAGCTACAATAATTATAAGTTTGCTGAAATCCAATGTTTTTGAGCAGAAGGGGGCAAATATCGAGGAAGAAGAGTTAACACAATATTTAACAGGGTAGTGGGAGCCGTTCTGGCGCAGCGTATAGCAAGCTTACCCTATAGCCGGGTGGCTCCGGGTCCAAGATCCCATTAAGACGCATTTTTTAAATGTGACCTTCACTTGCAGGTCAGCACAGCCTGACTATCAGGAGAATATTTTGGGGAGCAAAGGTGGTCGGCAAATGTTGCTTACATTAACAAACGATTGCCTATCGGTCCGCGTAAATATGGTACAAGCTCCATTTTAGCGATGCGTCTCAAGACTTGAAAACAATACTTAACTATTCTAAGAAATGTTTCCAGCTACTGGTACATGGGACTTGTCATGTTTTTACCTAACACTGGGCGCTGGAGAAATGATGTGGATAACATTAATCCGGTCGTCTTTACTTTCCATGACCCCTGTTATTTAAAAGAATCAATCTCAGTCGGATTCGATCCCAATATTTTCAGGCCGGCAGGCAATCGGCTAGTCAGTAGGCGACAGCTGTTTATGGCTTCCGGATTATTGTAAAGTAAAGGTCCCTTTTAAATCCTTTAGACAATCGGGTATATCGAAAGAGCACCTATACTTTTTACAGACGATCGGCACTAGGTGGATAATGTGGTCAGCATTACGCCGGCCGCCTTTACTTCCCATGGACAGACATCCATTGTAGGCTGGGTCGACCGGCTACGCCCCATACCACGATGAAGAGCCCCGCAGTCAGCTGTGGGTTTCGATCGCTGTGCGTTGCAATTACGAGTCGGACTTGCAACGCCTAATCCACGAACGCCGCTTTACTGTTATAGTCCCTTTCAGAATTCGTGCCCAACTGTAAGAATCTGTAACTCAGTAACGGTTCCGTGCAAGTGGTTGAAATGTGACATATAACATATCAATAATCATGTCCGATGACATCGATTCAACTTAAACAATCAGCAAGCGTACAGTTGAGTCACAGAAACTTTTCAAATCATTAAACTGCACACGTTTCATAGGCGTTCCACTCTCAGGTGGTCATCTCCATAATCTGGCTCTCGTGAGTTACATAAACTGAGTTTTTTTATTGTATGTGGGATAGGTTATCAAAATAATCATCAAGCATCGCTGCACATGTGAATTTTCTTCAAAACAAACGCCAGGTGTGTCAATTACTGCGTATTCTACTTGTTAGGGTACACACGTTATTAGTCAAACAAAGATCAAATAAATTCGCCATTTTAAGAAAATTGCAGCATCTGTGAAATTGTTAACTAGACAATCAGAAAGACATGGTAAATCACACGCCCCACGCAAAAATTCATGCACTGGAGTTTATATATATATATATATATATATATATATATATATATATATATATATATATATATATATATATATATATATATTTAAGGCACGATTTTTGAAACATACTATAATGTTTACGTGGAGTTTATATATATATATATATATATATATATATATATATATATATATATATATATATATATATATAATATATATATATATATTTAGGGCACGATTTTTGAAACATACTAAAATGTTTACGTGGCGTCTGTGGCTTCAGCGTTACGAACGTGTTTCGTAATTCCAAGGTGGCAGGTTCACCTTTCACAAAGCAACGGCAAACTCCTGAACTGTAAAACTGCCTAGTGAAATCACTAACATGCACACAAATGCTGGGGTTAGTTCTGCAACGTCCTGCTAGGATACGCAACCAACCTTTAAGTGTTCGCTGTAACGACTGGTAATCCTACTGCAGCAGACACAAAGAACAATGGAAACTTCACGAATATAGTATTCATAACAACCCTGCACGTCATTGGTACAGCAGCTAGCTGAGATATCTCACTGCGACTGATAGCTGGCGACTTGTTGACACGCCGAGTGCTGCCGGCAGGCTGTGCTATCTTGTTACTGTTGTGCTTTCCAGTGGTTATATATTTAGTGCATACAGGGATGTCGGAGGTAATGGGGCTTTGCTAAATGAGGACCACTCACCCCCTCCCCCCCCCCCCCTAAAAAAATAGCTGGGATGGGGAGCACCAATGGAGAGCACCCCACCCCACAATAGATCCCTCAGAATGAGGGGACAGAGGAAAGGGCTAAGCTGTCTCTGTTTATTATTCACTTAAACCAGACTAAGGTTTCCACCCAACCCCTGAATAGATTTGTAAGAATGAGGGGACAGAGGAAAGGGCTAAGCTTTCAATATCTATTATTCACTTAAACCAGACTAAGGTTTCCACCCCATCCCCAGCCCATGAGCTTCCCAAATCACAACACCTGTAACGGGGTTAAGGTCCTGAATTGTGTGTGTGTGTGTGTCGACACCTTTGATGCAGATCATCACAATATCACGTGGGTTGTCGTCACGTGGTAGGTATCTTTGATATGATAATATCAGCTTGTTTTGTGGTCTGTGTGTGTGTGTGTGTGTGTGTGTGTGTGTGTGTGTGTGTGTGTGTGTGTTTGTGTGGTTCACAAATGCAAAAGCAGGATGTCAAAGTAATGACATTCCTGATCAGTGTCTAGCGAAACGGTTACGACGTCTAACTCTGATGTGGAAGACCCTCGTTCGAGTCCTGGGTAAGGTTAAAGAAAGTTTCTCTCTCTTTATCTCTCTCTCTCTCTCTCTCTCTCTCTCTCTCTCTCTCTCTCTCTCTCTCTCTCTCTGTGTGTGTGTGTGTGTGTGTGTGTGTGTGTTGTGGCCACTGGAAAGATCTGTGGAAATAGAGGCCAAGCAAGACAGCGCAAGAAGATGATGGCCAGCCGTTTTGTCAGGGCATGGAGGGCAGCTGATTCACGTAGTTGCAAAGCGCAGATTATGGGAAGGCACGACCGCCTACGCCAGTCGGCAAGGCTATTGACGATGATCATGATTTATGTGATTGCGTGTGTGTGTAAAGGGGAGGAAGGGAGGTGAAAATCCTTACCTGGATCGCCTTGGTGGCAACCGTACTAGCCATGCAGTCCTTACACTCAAGATCCATCCTTTCATTAAAA